TTTTCCTAACCCTAACCCTACCCTGGTGCACACCCCTAACCCTAATATAGGGGTAAAGTTCCATTGAAAAGAGGGAGATTTTGAAAAAGCCTTCCTTGAGTAGCTTTTTCTGCACAGCTCATCCTTTATGCCCCTTCTAAACACATTCCAACCATCAGAACCATGCCAGGACACCTCATTTTCCTAACCCTAACCCTACCCTGGTGCACACCCCTAACGCTAATATAGGGGTAAAGTTCTATTGAAAAGAGGGAGATTTTGAAAAAGCCTTCCTTGAGTAGCTTTTTCTGCACAGCTCATCCTTTCTGCCCCTTCTAAACACATTCCAACCATCAGAACCGTGCCAGGACACCTCATTTTCCTAACCCGAACCCTACCCTGGTGCACACCCCTAACGCTAATATAGGGGTAAAGTTCCATTGGAAAGAGGGTGATTTTGAAAAAGCCTTCCTTGAGTAAGTTTTTCTGCCCAGCTCATCCTTTCTGCCCCTTCTAAACACACTCCAACCATCAGAATCATGCCAGGACACTTGGTTTTCCCAACCCTAACCCTACCCTGGCGCACTCCCCTAACGCTAATATAGGGGTAAAGTTCCATTGAAAAGAGGGAGATTTTGAAAAAGCCTTCCTTGAGTAGCTTTTTCTGCCCAGCTCATCCTTTCTGCCCACTCTAAACGCATTCCAACCATCAGAACCATGCCAGGACACCTCGTTTTCCTAACCCTAACCCTACCCTGGTGAACACCCCTAACCCTAATATAGGGGTAAAGTTCCATTGAAAAGAGGGAGATTTTGAAAAAGGCTTCCTTGAGTAGTTTTTTCTGCCCAGCTCATCCTTTCTGCCCACTCTGAACACACTCCAACCATCAGAACCATGCCAGGACACCTCGTTTTCCTAACCCTAACCCTACCCTGGTGCACACCCCTAACCCCAATATAGGGGTAAAGTTCCATTGAAAAGAGGGAGATTTTGAAAAAGCCTTCCTTGAGTAGTTTTTTCTGCCCAGCTCATCCTTTCTGCCCCCTCTAAACACATTCCAACCATCAGAACGATGCCAGGACACCTCATTTTCCTAACCCTAACCCTACCCTGGTGCACACCCCTAACCCCAATATAGGGGTAAAGTTCCATTGAAAAGAGGGTGATTTTGAAAAAGCCTTCCTTGAGTAGCTTTTTCTGCTCAGCTCATCCTTTCTGCCCCTTCTAAACACATTCCAACCATCAGAATCATGCCAGGACACTTCGTTTTCCCAACCCTAACCCTACCCTGGCACAGAGCCCTAACCCTAATATAGGGGTCAATTTCCGCTGAAAAGAGGGAGAATTTGAAAAAGCCTTCCTTGAGCAGCTTTTTCTGCACAGCTCCTCCTTTCTGCCCCTTCTAAGCACACTGCAACCATCAACAAAGTGGCGCAACCCAGCGCTGTGAGCTGCTCTGGCCCCACGCCATTTCTGCACGTGTGGGGTGAGCGGGCTGCCCAATATCCAGGAAAGAGCACCTACCTTCTCCTGGTACTGCCGTCGGGAAGAATCCAGGGACTGGATGAGGGCCGTGGCGTGGCCGATGAACATGGCGTAGCAGGTGGCGCCCACGATCATGCTCAGCATGGTGAGCCACACGTCCGACATGCCCACGGGGGCTTGCTGCCCGTAGCCAATGCACAGCATGTGGCTCATGGCCTTGAACAGCGCATAGGAATACTGCTTCCCCCAGGAGTCGTTCTAAGGGGACAGACAGAGAGACAGGCTGGGTCACCGGGCGGACAGTGCTGGGCAGACCTTGGCGAGAGACCCGGGGGTGCCTTCCCTGAATCCTAGAATCCCAGCAGAGTTGGAAGGGGCCACGAAGGTCATCAAGTCCACCCCCTGCTGTTGCAGGACACCAAGTCACACCACCCCACTCAGGGGGCGGCCCCATTTCTCCTCGAACACCTCCAGTGTGGGGGAGCCCCCACTCCCCAGGCAGCGGGCCCCATCGCCGTGTTGCTCAGACAGTGAGGAAGCGTCTCCTGACGCGCAGCCTGAACCTGGCTTGGCGCGGCTTGAACAGATGCCCGCGTGCACGGTGCCGGTGCCAGCTGGGCCACGCCGGGAGTCGTGGGTCCTTCCTCCACGTAACCCTGCATAGGAGTGAGCTTCAAACGTGGACCGGTTGCCTCTCTGCCCAGAGCGACCTCTCCTTCCGCTCACATGCTGATGACGATGCTCACGAGGAAATGGCCCTGGCATGTGTGTGCGGATCACGCAGGCCCAAAAGCCTTTTCTGCTGCAGTGGAATAACGACGGACGGCTCTTCTGCCTCGCAAGGACAGCCCTCCGTCTGAAGGACTCCCCGCTGGATGAGCTGCCCGGCCAGGGGCCTTGACGCTGCCCACCCCCTTGCCCGGGGGACTCACGGGACACGCCCTCCCATCTTCCCCACGAGGGTGCGATGCATCCCATGCATCCTGAGGTTTCGGCAAGGGGCGGCATAGAAATGTTATAATAATAATAATAATAATAATAATAATAATAATAATAATAATGATAATGATGATGTCTCTTTCAGCGCCTGCAGTTATTTCTGAGCGCACCTCTGTATCTGTAGATCAGCACGTTCAAATATTAGGCAACCACCTAGTCCTTCCTTGGCAGCATCTTTCCTCTTTTTAGTCGACGGACTCCCTTGAACAAAGAGCCGAGCGATGCAGGCACCGAGTGCGGGACTCTCAGCGGGGCCCACAGCCCGGCAGGCGGCACAGGGAGGCCGAGGCTCGCGGCACCGCGTTTGATGCTCGGGGGCCCGTTCCCATCCACGCTTTCGGATAAAGTTGTCCTGTGCCACTCTCAGTCTTCCCCAGCCATTCTGGTAGGAAGGGAATCCCCCGGCCCCTTCAACACACACACACACACACAACTCTGGGTGCGCTTGCTGTCATTGCTTTCTTGCATGCGAGGCTTTGGCGATCTTTATTCTCCTTCCCAAATGAGGCACATGAATCATCCCGCCGGAGGGCCTCCATTTGTAGGGACTACAACTCCCAGCAGCCCCAGCCACGCACCATGAGTCCGGGCAGAACACAACAGTAGCAGGGCCTGCTCCCCCACCCCTTCCGCCAGCCCTCCTCTCTCCCCGGCCCCAGTGGAGATTTACGGGGCTGCTTCCCAGCCGCCGGCCTGCCATCCCATCATCCCCTGGCACCGGGCAGGTCAGGCGAGGTCCGGCCCCCCCGGAGGGGCTGCGCGCACCATTCAGGCAGGTCAGCAGGGAGACAAAGCCCCGGGTCGCGTTACGCTGCGAACGGCCTGTTCCGACAGGCACAATCGCTCCGATTCACCGGACGCACTCCGACAAAAGGCGCGCGCGCGCGCGCGCACACACACACACACACACACACACAGCCGCAGAGCACCACAAAGAGGCGGCTCTCCCGAGGCGCCAACCTGTCTGGGCTCACCTTGCCAACAGCGCGTGGGGTGGGGGTGGGGGGCTGGGGCTGGGGTGGGGGGGAGCCCGGCGCGCTCCCCATCGCCTCCGAGGTGCCGCGGCGCAACTGGACGGGTCCCCTCCGAGTGCGGTGGAAGACCCGGGGGCACGGACGAGGCCCCTCCGAGGCAAAGGCCCCCCGTGGCGCGTGGACCCCACAGGTGTCAGGCCCTTGTGGGGCTGGAGATGCCCGGCAGAGGGCTCTCCCTCTCCTCCCCAGCAGACCCCCCCCCCCCCCGCTTGCTTTCTGAAAAGAGGGCGAACACGCTCAAGGCAGAGGCCAAGCCAGGGCAGGGCTGTGGGGCAGCGGCTCCAGGCCCTCTCCAGTCGCAGGGCGGCCAAGTTCCCCGACCCCCTGCTGCACTAATTGAGACCAGGGGGGCTTTCTGTAACTCCGTCCCCCGAAATGCATCGCATCAGCTTCTTTGCAAGTCTACTTTGCAAGCCTGCCAACGCCCGGAGCTCACCCTGTCGTCGAGCCAGGCTGCTCAAGCACGCTCAGGAAGCGCGGAGGAGCCGCCCCCAGACCGCAGTGCGCGCCTTTCTGGAGCCCAGACGAGAACCCCAGGCGAGGGGTGGTGAAAACCCCCGTGCGCGCAAGACGCCCTCTGCACCCGAACCCGGCCTGCCCTGCGCCCTCTTCGGCGCTGGCTCCATGCAGCTGAGCCAGTGTCTAGATGGCCTCCGGGTGGCCCAGCCTCAGCGCTGGGGGCCATTCCGCTTTCCCGTTTCCCTATAATTAAGCCCAGCCACGTACCTATCTGTCCACCAGGGACACAGAGCCAAGACAGTGGAACCCAGACCCCCAAGCTGGACACATGTACTTATGGGAGCTTGGGGTTAACCGGGAGTGGGGGCGTGAGCTCAGCTTTATTCCTGCTTTGAAAGGGCTTCTATTTAAACCTGCCTATGTGGTGGGACCAAGGGTTCCCACCACATGGACCCTACTGGACCCTGCCTACCTCACTGGACCCTGCCTACCTCACAGGGCTGTTGTTCGGATAAAATGGAGAGGAGGGGCTTGCAAGAGGAGGGAAGGTGGGATACTAAGGGTGATGGAGACGATGGCCAAGAGGTTGCCCTCAGCTGCCTCCTGGGGAAGGGCCCCCCCGGCACGGGGGGCACGTGGGGGTCCCCACAGGCCGAGCTTCCCTCCGCCCACCTCTGACAGCTGTGCAGGCTTGCCGGAAGGCTTCCGACTATCAGGCAAAAGCACGAAGCTAAGTCTGTTCACTAACCCTGGAACCAAACACCTATCATCCTGCTTCCTCGACTGGCTGTCGGGCAGCAGACCTCATCAACCCCTTTCATCCTCACGTCAGCCCTGCAAGGTAGGCAGGGTGCAAGCCAAGTCACCCAGCGCCCTTTGTGGCTGGGAGGGGATTTAAAACCAGGTCTTCCCAGTTTAAGTATAGAACTCTAACCACTACCACACACTGCCATGCAAAGGCCTGCGGCATCCGTGGCAAATGCTCCTGCTTGCTGTTCCCCCATCCATGCGGTGTGCAGCGTCCACGCTGGAGATGCGGAGAGCGGATGGCACTTCAAAAATAGATCCCTATTTTAATGAACAGACTGTTCCAGCAGGCGGTTGTCACATCTGCAGCCCTGTTTTTACGTAGGAGAGGTGGCGGGCGCGTGTTGGCTCGCTGCCAAGGCAACCGGTCCCCGGCGTGTCTGCACGGAGCCTGGCCTGCGCTTCGGAGACACGCGGGCCGGCCGGCCACCTCGACGTGGCCCCCGAAGGGGACACCCACCCCCGAACACGAGGGCAAGGGGGAGACATTTGCAGAGGCCGATGCGCGGAGAGGGGTGGGCATTAAGGAGCAGCGGCTGGCGTTTAGACGGACATAGGACCCCTCTCACCACACGGGGGAAGGCCGTGGCCAGTGACCGCGGGGATGAGAGGAAGGCCGCGACCTCTTGCAGCTGACGCCAGAGTGCAGGACACGGAGCGACCAAGTCGAGCGGAGGCAGCCCAGAGTCAGGCTGGGCATCAGGAGAAGCTTCCTCACTGCCAGAGCAATACGGCAGAGGCACCAGCTGCCCAGAGGGGTGGGGGGCTCCCCCACCCTGGAGGCATTCGAGGCGAAAGTGGACGGCCACCTGAGTGGGGTGGTGTGACGTGGTGTCCTGCAACAGCAGGGGGTGGACTGGATGGCCTCCATGGCCCCTTCCGACTCGACTCTTCTGGGATTCTATGAGAGCTAGTGCTGGTCCATGGTTTCCCAATATGGTGCCCTTCAGATGCTTCGGACCAACTCCAAACACCCCAGCCAGTGTGGTCCGAGAGAATGGGATCGTGGTCCAAAACACCAGCCGGGCACCATAGTCACAAAGACGGGTGCAGCGGAGACTAGACGGAAGCAGCAGATCAAAGGTCCCAGGGCCCATCATCCTGGGCTGAGCCACTCCTTCGCTCCGCAAGCCCAGCTCCCAGTCCCTGCCCTAGCAGGGGTCTGCAGCCCCTGGAGGCCGCCCACCGTTCCTCAAACTGGTCATTCTACCAGCCATCACGAACACGGTTCTTCGGAAGAAACACGTGTGGCTCTCTTCTCCGTCGTCAGCCCACCAGCGAGAGATCTGGGCTCAGCCTGTTTCTGAGCAGTGACGCGCTGCATTTAAAACCCAGTTTTCTCCCACGGTGGAACTCAAAGTGGCGCAGAGAGCAAGGTGGTTCCCCTGTCGGGACACTGGCCAGACTCCGGCACGGCTCCGTCCCCAGAGACACGCATCTTAGCTTGGTAAGAAAGCTCCATGCCAGATTTAAATCTAACCCAGCGGGCAGCAATTTAGGAGCTGGACCTAACAGGGAGCGATCCAGCCCTCCTCAGCTTGGCACATCCAGGAGGTCTGGCCCGACTCATCCGGAGGACATTCGGCTGAGGAAGGCTGGCGAGCTGCAGCTCCTTGATTCTTCCAAATCTTCAGCGCTGTTCTGCGACTCGCAAATGCCCCCGGAGCCGCCGTGCACGCTGGCAGGCCTGCAACATGCCGGATGCCCAGCCGGGCCACGCATGCAGACTCCACGCACAGGCTCCGGGGAAGATCTGGGGACGAGAGGGGGGCCGTCACCCCGCTCCGCCCCCGTCCCACAAGCCCATTTCTGCACTCGGCCGTGCCCACCTCCGGACGTCATTCGGCTGCCCCGGGTGACCCCCCCACCTCCAGGGGCTCCTTGGTGCTGCAGCAGAGACCTTGGCGGGACAGGCTGGAAGACCAGCAGACCACCGCGTGGAAATCGACCTGCTGCGGCCCCCCCTCTCCCCTTCGCCTCCGTGACTCTCGCCATGTGCCGAGCCTGCAAACAGGCTTCCCCTCCCCCAGCACTTCAACGTGGAAGGTATTTTTAGGCTGTGATCATGCCCGGATCTAGTCCGCTCTGTTTTTGGAGGGTACAAATTTAGAGTCACCCTCTGTGTGTTTGTGTGTGCGTGTGACCAATGCCTTGAACACCTGGATGCTTAGTGCCTTTCTTTATTCATAGTTTGTTCTTGTTATTCTGATGCTCTATGCATACATGAGCATTCGTTTATTTAAATCTCACCTTTCTCCTTATTCCCAGTGCTCTTAAACCGTGCATGGGGCAGGTTTCTGGACGGGCGATGTGAGCAAACTCTAGGAAGGTGGGCTTCACCTGCCACCTGCCTAGCCTGTACTTTCATCGGGTTTGGACACAGGATGGCACCTGAGGCTGGGTTTGGTCAGCCGGTGCTCCTGCTTGCAGAATCCACGAGAACCCAGAACCGAGGAGAAGATGCTCCTGTCCCAGCCAGAGGAATTAGGACTACTGTGTGCTCAGATTCTGGTGACAGGCCTGGCCTTGTGTTTTGACCTTCTTGCACCCTTCCACTGCTAGAAAGCGCTCTGTGTCGGTGGCTGAGTGGCCTGGGACCACCATGGAGGCGAGGGTGGCCTCTGCTGGAGGTGCAAGGACCAGCATGTCAGAACAGCGTCCACCAAGGACCTTCACTCCCGCACGGACCGACTGCCATGGATCTCCTGATCTCTTCCTCCTCTCCACCGCCAGATCCTGCGTGTTCCCCTGCCTCTTGCTCTGGCCCCCCAGGCTGAAGAGCGAGAGCAGGTGGCCCTGAGGGTGGAAGGGGCCCACGGCAAGAGGGGCCTCAGCCCCCCGAGGCCAGCCGGGCGCTGGGCTGCCAGCACTGCGTCCATCTGCCATGGAAGCAACGGGCATCCCTTGGTGGAGACGCAGAGGCAACCCTGGCAGAAAAATGGGACGGGGGTCAGGCCAGGCCTGGGTCCCCGCCAGAGGTCGTCCTCCCCCGTCCTCTCCTTTCTGCCTTCCGGTCAGGTTGACGGGGCCTGCCGGGGGCTGTGGTGTCAAAGATCTGGCGGGGAGCCCCCCCCCCCCGGGAAAAGGCATGTCAGCACTTTGCAGCCGGGGGGGGGGGGCTCGTGACTTACCACCATGCGGTTCAGGGAGACCCAGCAGTCCTCGGGGAAGTCCTGCAGCATGGGCACGAGGAACTGGAGGCAGCCGTCCCAGTGGCACAGGAGCAGCATCATCCCGATCAGGTTCACGATCCGCACCACGGCGCTCGCCAGGTCGTAGGTCATGTGGAAGATCTGGAAGGCAACGCAGGGGAAACGGGTGACCACGCAGCTCGGGTGTTCAGACACACCAAAGCGTTTCGCTGAAAAATAAGGCGATGCGACTCAGCAGCAGGGATGCATGGCCAGCATTTGCGACCGTCGCAACGTCCCGAATCCCAAGCTCAGAATTCCAAAGGCAGCCTGAGAAACAAAAGTCCAGAGCCCCGCCACAGTCGAACGGGGAGACAAACCAGGACAATCTCAGGGGCTTGGCTAAAGGAGAACGGGAAGAAAGCCAAACTTGCACCGGTGGGGAGGGAATTCCGCAAACGAGGGGCCACTCTGAGAAGGCCCTGCATCAGGTGCCTGTCCACCCAGCTGCTGCGAACCCCCGAGAAGGGAGAACAGCCAGCAGCCCAGTGCGGCCATCCAGGTAACATGCGGAGCGTTGCACAGGACGCTTGAGCCCAGACTTCAGCCCCATGGCATCGTGGGTGGCACTTCTCTGTGTAGTCCTTGCTAACTCTGCACCTCTTCGTGTAAGTTGGCATGTGCCCTTTGATGCAAGTTGGCCTCCTCTTTCCTAGGTGAGGCATTGCCTCTCATTTAGTAAGTGTCGCTCTGTTCCCAACCCACCAAATCTACAGGAAGCAGGAAGCCCAATCGCTGAAATCCACAAATCCATTCACTTCGACTTAGAAGCTCCCAGTCCGTGTGTGATTGACAAGAGAGATGTCAACCGCAGGAAAGCAACGGGGAACGGCCGACAAGCCCTGGAGCCGGCGAGGGACCCAGCCTTACAGTGATCAAGAAGACCACTCGTGCGGGTTAGCCTTTTAATAAATTCCTGTTCCCAGCTCTTGGGGTGCTGGGTGCCGAATGTGGAGTCTGGCCTGGGATCCGGGACCAGGGAGGGGCTGAGCGGACACTATAGCCCAGCTGGCCATGGGGCGGGTGTCCGCTGCACTCATCCAGCACTGCTGAGTTGGGGGAAATCTTAGGACAGCTCTCACAGCATCACGAAGGACATCTCTCCCACGAGCTCTCCTGTCCATGTTCCGTAAATTGACACCTCGCTGGTCTTCTCATCTACTCATTGACCGAACTGGGTATTTTTAAGGACTTCTGAGTGTCTTGTTTCACTGTTGCAAATGCAACGCACAGAGCTTTCCACCAATCCCCCTTCCCCCAGGGACGCACGGTGCCGAAAAAGCCGCCCCGCTCTCAGAGTCCCCGGCCTGCACTCGGAGGAATCCGAGCTGGTCCGACTTGGCACAGGTCCCTCCGGCGCCCCTGCCCGGCAGCCCTTCCAATGGAGAAGCGCCCTCTGTCAAGCCACTCGCCCTGTTCCAGGTCTGCCCCTGGACCGCCAAACCAGCGAAGCGAGGCACGTTCACTTCCCCTGACACTTCCAAGTCCATGAACAGGCTTTGCTTTTAGAGTAGCAAAATGCCTGGCTCAAAAGGAAGATCAGTGGCAGATGGGCCTGACTTCCCCCCGAAGTGGCAATGCTCCAGCCGGGCCAGGCGCTCCGTCTAGCTGCGGCCCACGGAAGGGATGCTCCTCCCGCCTTTTAATGAACGCGACTGCATACAGGGCAAGGAGAAGGACCAGCAGAGGCCGCAGGCCCAGTGCAGATGCTCCTGGGAGCCACGGGCTTCCTGCCGAGGAGACACGCTCACTGCCCCCTCCCCACTGAGGCCCGCCTGGCGCCGGCCTCGCCCCCTGTGGCCCTCCGCCCCGAGAGCCCTGCGGGGATATTTGAAGGACTGAGGGGACTGGCCCCTTCCAGGGATGCTTCTGCTGACAAGCCTCCTGCATATCATGTTTGCCTTGTCAGCCTTTATTCTTACATTTTTGCGATTTGGAAATTTTCACGGAACGTTATCGTCTGCTCGCTTGAAGGGCGCAGAGCGCGCTGGCCAGAACAGGGGCGGTCCAGAAATGAAGCAAAGGCGGCTCCACTTGCTGCTCTGAGGCCTGACGCCCTTTGCGGGTTCAAGGATCAAGGTTTCCAGGGCTAACGGTTCATCGACTTGTGGCCAGGTGGCCGTGCTCTTTGCCCGGTGTGCAGGGTTCACCCGTCTGTATCCATGCATTCTTTCTTCCATCCTCCCCCAAGGAACTCGAGTCCTTAATTCATCGTGGAGGAAGTGACAGAGAGAGGCAGAACTTTTGAGGGGCTGGAAAAGGGTGCACATCTCTCCCTTCCAGACGTTCAATGATTCTGGGGTAGGACTCGTGAACAGGCCCAGTTAGAGGGAGGGGGGTCAGGCCAGTCCCGCTGAGATCAAACCTCACAAGAGCCCCGTGAGAGCAGTTGGGACGAGAGAGAAAAGGCCACCCAAGGTGGCCTGGGGGGCATCGGCGCTGAGGGGGCGGTCCTCTCCTGAGCCTCCTCTATCCCAACTGCAGCACTCTCCAGCCCGGTGGCAGCCCCACCTAGTGGGTGAAGCTGGCTGCAGCCTCCAAGAGCCATCAAATCGTGCCAGAACCCCTTGGCCGTGCTCTGGCACAGCGGAAGGGCAGGGAGAGGCGACGGAGGAGACATCCAGGGCACGGCCCTGTCGCATCCTCTCGATGCTGACATGGCAGCTGGTGTTTCCCGGCAGCAAGCAGCAGCGGATGGCGGGTGCCTCGCAGGCAGGCAGGCAGGCAGGCAGGCAGGCTGGCTGGCTGGCTGGCTCAGTGGCAGGGAGGAGCTGGTGCGCGCGGAGGGTTGTATTGGAATGCGGCTGAGCTGTTTACATAGACACCCCAGCTGGTTCCGAATCGCGTGCCAGGCGACCGCGTGGCTAAATGCACTGGTGCCATCCACGAGGAACTGCCTGCCTGCAAGAGGGCAAAGCAGAGGCGGCTCTGGACCACCCTTCCTGCAGCACCGTCCTCGTCCTCGACAGGCCAGAGCTGGAAGCCCCTCAGGCCATCCTCTCGGCGGGGGGGGGGGGAGGCTGCTTGGAGGAAGAGCTGCACCGGAGCCGCTCCTCCTCGAGGGCAGGCTCGCCCTGAAGCCCAGCTAAGTGCCGCTTTTGTGGAATGAGAACCACACTCCCCGCCGGGCACACAAGTGCTCAGACCAGGGCTGGGAGGAAATTACGAGGGCCGCTTCCCAGCTGGGACTAAATGTAGCCTGGAGAGACATTAAAATGATCGATTACAAATTTATGGCTTGCCACAAAGCTTCTTTGGGATAAATACTGCAAGAACGTTGTATCCTTGTCAAGCCAGGAACAGTTGATTAAGTGTCTGAATATTACAAAAGTGGATTGGTTAATGGCACATGCACATAGAAACATGGGAAAGGAGCATTTATATCGTAGATCAATGGGAAAGCTTTATTTTCCCATATGTAAATGTGGTTTATATAGTAGATCAATGGGAAAGCTTTATTTTTATTGCAATAGACACTGCGGTCATATAAATATTGACAGAACACCCGTCTTGATATAATTAGTAGTGAATACTTGGAACAATCTTTTTCTGTTTATTATATGTATATCCCGCTTTTTCTTTTTGCCTGGTCACAAGGTAACTTTCATGAGCCTTCCTCTCACAAGAGACCTGCACGATGGGTTCGACCGAGCATCTGTGACTGGCCCAAAGCCACGCTCAGCCCTACAGGTGAGAGAGGTTTGCAGTGGGTTTTGTGTTTACAGTGAGTTCCATACGTTTTTAAAAATAGCAGAGGGGAAAGGAAGAGGTGCAACCTTTCCCACAGGTGCCATGAACACGAACACGGAAATAAGGGGGCGCCACTAGCGCAATCGAGCAGTGTGGGCAATCCACCCAATGGAAGCGGCTGCTGGCGCTGTCCGTGGTGCTGGACGCCACCCCCGGCGGGGCTCCATCTTGGGTGCGGGACGCCTTCACCCACCAAGGAGCAGACCCGAGAGCCATGTCCATGCAAGGCCCGGGCCTGGGCAGCCTGACCTGCTCTTATGATCGGCAGTGCCGGATCCCACGGGCGCGGAGGGGTGGGCATTTGGCCCAGGTCTTTCTGGAGCATTTCTCAAGCATTTTTTGGGGTAAGAGCTTGTCTGAGAGTTCCCTCAAAGGTACAAATGCATTCATGAGCAAGACAGGAAGACCTTGAGAGGGGATGGCATCCGGAGCAGGAGAGAGCATTGCTGGCAGATCTGGCCACCTTGCGCTCCTCAGAGTAAGCCTCGCGGAGGTCAGTCCTCAGGACTGAGTGCCAAGCAAGGAGAGAACGGGAGGGAAACATTAACCCCGCGCCCAGCGTGGGACACGAGAGCCCCGGCTTGCTTCCGCGGGGCGTGTGGCGCACCGGCGCCGTGGCAGCCGTTCCCCACTTCTGCTCGGCTCCTGCCGGCTGGTGTGGGCAGCTCCGGGCGGTGCTCGGCCTCGATCGCCCCTTCATCAATGTGGTTTGGCTCTTTCCCCATGGTGGCTGCACCAGCCCGTCAACGAGAGCCTGCAAATTATGACTGATGAAACCCTCCGTTTCTTTCCTGATCTTGATTTATTGTTCCACACGCTCTTCTTTCCCCTCGCTTTATTTTATTAATGCTATTTTGAAACAAAATGAACTTCATGGCTTAAAAAAAGAAGCCACTGATGCCGCTTGCTCTAACAGTGAAATTTCTCTGATCAAGCCATTCAGGCACCAAACAAGCCCCAGGCAGGACCGGGGCAGCGCTTTGCCATGTCTGGCCTGGAGGTGTTTTATACGTGGAATCATCTTAATAAAAACAGACTGTTTGTGACCGCCCCCATCCCCACTGTGGTGCACCCACATTTCCCTAAAAGGCCTGGGGACTCCAGAGAGAAGGGAATGGCCACCCCACAATTTTCCAACAACACCAGTTTTGCAAGGTGTGTATGTAGCAAAGGCGAAAGAAGGGTACAGCGAAAACGAGAACTGACCTAGACAGACGGAGAGGCCGATTAGTATTCAAGTCTCTCTCTCTCTGTGTGTGTAGTGGATCCCATTTCATTTGATGCATGAATAGCCAAACAAAAGATTTTACAGAATTCCTTGGTGTTAATAAAAATGTTTTTGACATATCCTT